ATTTTGTGTGTGTGTGTGTGTGTGTGTGTGTGTGTGTGTGTGTGTGTGTGTTGGGAGAGGGGGTGTCAAGTCCTGATAATATTGTTTGAGCTGCTAGATCAAACTACCCCTAAAACCAGATACTCTTGGACTTCGATTTTATTGCTTAAGCCAGATTAAATTGAATTTCATGATTCTGTAATCAAAGGAGCTCTGAATGATAAAACCATGGCAGAGTCAAAGTTAAGTAACTAGCTGTGCTCACAAGGAGCAGGAGTTATACGTGAGCATGACAATCTGGGGGAGGCATGACTGAAAGAGCAATTGTGTGGGGTACACAAAGAAGGATAAACTTGAGTCATTTTTAGGTAAATGGATACACCTCGATACGTAACATTAAGTGAAATAAATCTTACATACAAGTTTAAATATCACATTGTTTCTCTCATGTGAGAAACCCAAGGAGTAAATAAGGAGCAAGACGGAGGGCAGACACTGGGAAGGAAGAAGGACATGTTCAAATGGGAAAGGAGACAAGGGAGGGTGAAGGGGAGAGGAAGGAGGGCGAGAGGATTTTACAAGACAAGAATGGAAGAGGAAAAATGGGAAAAAAGCTTTTGTAAATGGGGAAGGGAAGAAGGGTTGAAGGGAGGGAAGGATAATGGGAACAAAAGAATCAAGACATATTCTGTACAAACAGAAATTCCCTGTAATTCCAGCACTCAGGAGGCTGAGGCGGGAGGATCACTGTGAGTTCAAGACCAGCCTGGGCTGCTCGGTGAGTTCCAGGTCAGTCTCCTCTACAGAGTGAGACCCTGTCTCAATAAAAAAAACAAAACAAATTCCCTATGATGAATGTGATCATTACGTATAGCAAATATGTACAAATAAAAATAAATTTTAAAAAAGTATATAATTATTGTGTGGCACCAGAATCAAGATCCGGGAATTCATCTACTGCTACATGCTCCTCAGCTGCAATGCGTCTGGAATCACCTAAATGCCACAAGAGTAGATCCTGCCAAGGCTCCTCTGAGATTTGTATTCACTCACATCGTAAGTATAAGTGTAAGTATAAGGAGCATATGCCCCCGATAAAGCACAGCAAATGCCAGGCAGGGCCCGGCTCTCGTGGATTATCCCGTGTGAACAGAAAACAGTGACAGAAGTGCGAGGGCACGACCTGAGACAAAGCAGCCTGGAAGAGGCGGTGACGTGAACACAGATCAGCAGATGAGACAGATACTGACAGGTAGACAATGAGGAAACGCATCCCAGCAGAGGGGCAGCAAGCACGAAGGCCCTGACGGAGAAACCAGCCTGCAGACATGAGGAACGACGTCCTGAAGGCCAAGGAGGCCAAGAGTGTGGGGCGGTGCGGTAAGAAATGAGGCTGGAACTCTGGAAAGCCATCAACAAAAATTTGGATTGGGAAAGCATGAAAGAGTTTTAAACAGTGGAGTGATTGGACTTGATGTGTTTCTGTGAGGCTCTCCTTGTGTCCGCTGCAGCCAAATACATGTGCAGGGAGGCACCAGTCAGCCAGCTCTGGTAGGCTGCTCCTCCTCTCAACCAAAAAATCCTGCCTCAGAGAAAGCTACCTCAGCGGCTGTGTGTACAGTGAGTGCGAGGAGCAAGCCATGCACGTGGAGATGCCCTGCAGCCTGGAGGAGTTCAGGCTCCAGGACACAAAGTTACCAACAGATGGCCCAGAAACAGGACAGGACCCTGGAGCCACCTAGCCCATGACTCTCCTTCACAGAAGCAGGCTAGTAATGATTTTCTTAGAAGGACTCTTAAAAAGGAAGAGAATGGAAATCTCAAATTTGATATCTGGAAACTTAAAGGTTGTCAAAAGCCTATTCTAAAAGTTAATTTTAAGTTCATTTTTTAAATCCTGGAGGCATTTTTCCAAAACAAAAATGTAATAATGAAGGTAATGGTCTCAGAACAGCCCACAGGAATGCATTCACCTCTCAAGGCAACTGGGGCTTCAATGACTTTTTTTCACTCTTTTCCTCACCGATGAACTCACAGTTTTATGAACAATTTCCTGTCAAAAGATTAAAGGAACTTTTAAGTAGGATTGGGGGCATTGGAAGACATTTTAATGTCCATCACCTACATCAGGAGCCAAGGACACCACAGGTCCAGAAAGGACTCTTTCTTTCTTTAACCTCTCCTATCCCAGCTCCTCCAATTCAAAGATACTTTGAGCCACTATAGCCCAGCCAGGCCATATACAAAGATTTCACACTGAGGCAGCAACAAGTTGGAGTTAAGGACTGAATGCCAATTAGAAAACAGAGGACATCACTTGAAACTAGATAAAAATTCTTCAAATAAGGCTAGTGTACAACTTTAGAAAGAGCTTCTTTTTTAGAACTTTTTTTGGTATAGGGATGGAACTTGGGCCCTTGCGCTTGCGGGGCAGGCAGCAGAACCACTGAGCCAAACCCCCAGCCCATTAGAACTATTTTTAAATGGGCAAAATAATTGCACACATTCTACTATCCCTAAGAAAAACTAAGGTATGTATCACCCTTCCTCTGAAACACTCCTTTTGTGTTCCCAAGACTCTGGCTAAATCAAGAGAACATTATAAGCAGACAGGGACAGGACTGCCCCAATAAAAAGCATCTGAAGAACACTGAACCAGGTAAATAGTTTTATCTGTACAATCTATCTTGCAGCCCACAGGCTAAGTCCTTGAAATGTTGGTCATACGATGGAACAATGCAAGCCAATGATGTCACTGCTTATGTATCTCAATCTATAAAACCCCCTTCCTGTCATAACTGGGTGCGAACTGGGTGCTATAGCCCAGCCAGCTGCCAAGAGACACTCTGAGTACTTTCTGGCAGATGCTTGTCCAGCCCATTACCACTAGACCTCCCAAAGGGTACAGCTGTTAAGTATAGCCTCCCGTGGGCTTGCTTGCAGGGTGACTTGTAGAGTTCGAATCCCGCCCCCATGATTTGCCAAGCAGTGCTGTGTTGAATGTGCACCTCTCCTGACATTTTTCTGCATGGGGCCAATGCTGAGTGTGCACCCCTTTTGCACCTTCCAGTGGAGGTACTGAACTACTTGCTTCCCTGGGACCTCCTTCCCTGTCAGACATTGACTGGGCTGTGGAATTTTTGGGGTCTAATCTGATAATCTCATATGTGTGTGCAATGTGCAGTGATCAAACCAGGAGAAAGGGCTGCCTTTGAATAAGGCTGCTTCATGGTGCATGGACACAGCTGGTGCTCATTATCATTTGTGAAGAGAAGACATGAACTGCGGGACTTGGTAAACCACAACAGCACCTCTGGTAACTGCAACATTTGAGGGTTTTCCTAAAACCCTTGGGCTAAAAGGAGGACTTGATATGTTAAGATGTACAAATCTAGAGCCTTATCACCAAGTCACTGCAACAACTCCAAGAGACAGGGCCTGCAAAGAGGTATATTAATAGCTTCCTGGGCAACTCATCCTCACAATCAAGTTTAAAAACCTTCTAACACAAAGAACCAGAATTTGGAGAGAAATAGCCAAGGTTTCTTTGATGCTAGATATATTTACCAGCCTGCTGCCTCCCATGAGCTTCCAATAAAAAAACTTTAAAACAGAAGGAAAATACTTAACTCATCACAGTTACTGAGTCAGACAAATGTACATGTAAACTTACTTGGACAGGGTAAAGGACTAGACAAATACAGTTCACTCAAAGTATGCAGTGAAGGGCTAGGCACAGAGCTCTCTAAGTATTTGCCAAGAATACACAAAGCTCTGGGTTCAATCCCTAGCACTGCCAAAACAAAGCATGTCACTGGGTAACAAGACGAAAGACAAAAAGTTAGAAGAGCAAAACAGACATATCTGCACAATGAAATGAATTTAGGCCTGCAGTAGTACTGTCTACAAAAAGGGCAATAGGTCCAGAGAGGAAGCTATGACTAATGCTGTCCTGATAGGCCCCAGACTGTTACAGCAACGAAGCAAACACAAACGCAGCAAGGCATGGGAATCAAAAAATCTCTGCCAATGTGTTCGTCCTGTCACACAGAGGCCACAGGAAATACACAGCCTTAAAGAAAATTCATGTCTTTATGAAAGCCATGTCCAGATTCTAATCCTGGCCCCAACACATATAACACACACACACACTTATTACACACACTTATTACACACTGGGTGCCACAGCTGTGAACTCCGTTCACTGTTTCAGTAAAACCCCACAATGACTGCATGATGCCGATGTGATGCTTCCTCATATAGACTGGAAAAGAGCTCCAGGCCAAGGGAGCCTGAACTCAAGTGCAGACCTATGAGTGTGGAGCATCTGCCTTTTGTTAGAGCACGTGCATTCCAAGAGTCCCTCCTTTCTAAACAAAGTTCTGTTATGGCCAGTCAGCTGAGACCTCAAGGCACTCGGCCAAGACAAATATCCTTTGTCATGCTGACCCGAAGGAGACAGGCAGGCTGGTACCGTGTTAGAGATATCTGTCAAGTAAGTGTCTACTCTTCTGTTTACTTGTATTTCTGATTAATAACAATTAGCTAAACTGTATTCAAGACTTATTCTCTGATAGGCATTAGGCTAAGATGTCTACATAGATTGCCTCAGGCAGGTGCTGTTCACTAACCCCATTTTACAGATGAGAAAATGGAGGCACAGGAGTTAACAAACTTAACCATTCTGCCATTCTGCCATCCTGTGGCCACAAGCCTCACTTGATTTGACTTAGTTTTGTCACAAGACTGCCTACCACGCAAATCTCTCAGGAGTTCTACACATAAAATTTCCTAAGTACACAATGATATGACTATTGCTAAAATAAGTTTAGCAAACTTACAATATCAGTTTTCATTTAGGAAAATACATAAGGTTTTCTATCTAATAAATTTCCTGGAATCCTTTCCAGCAGCATTTTTCTAATTCATGTACATAGGTGCTCATCCCCTGGTGAGTGCCTCCTGTGTGCCACAGGTTAAAGAAACACTTGCCCCTCCCCACCTAAGCTCAGTCTCCTCACCTTCAGCTGTTTGACCTTCTCTTTTCAGCATCTGGACAGCTCCTACATATTTCTTCAGCTGGACCTTAAGCACCTCGTTTTCTCTGCAGGTACAAGAATGTTAAAAAAAATATATTTAAAACTTGGCAAGTTAGGCCTAAAGTGGGGAAGGGAAGAGGTCTATGTAAAGAAAAGCACATGATGTGTATCTTATGAATATTAATATTTCAGAGATCATCACAGAAGAAAGCCATGTCACAGAGGATGTGTTTGTGGAATACCTTTGTGAATTTTCCTTTCAGAATGGAACTAACTGGTTCCACTACCCACAAACTTAGAACACTACCACATGCTGTACTCAGACTATTTGAATCTACCAATTTTTATGTGCCTATTCAGTGTCAAGAATTCTACAATGGTATCTCCATTTTCAGAAACATACTAAGCACCCTCTGTGCATTTACCTAGGGAATATTTTTATCAACTATCTCACATGTATTAAACACAACTTGCCAGGCATCATGTCAAATGCTTTTACGTCATCTCACTAACTCTTTCCCAGATGCTGACACGACTCCCATTTTATAGATGAGTAAACTAAGGCACATAAAGAGGCAACTCGGAGGACCAAATTCCCCACCCCAACCTCACATAAGATTATACCACGGAACAGAAAACCCACGCTAAAACAAGAGCCTGCCTCCTGATACCACTTCCCAGGCACACTGGCTGAGGATGAAACGTGAGGATCAGAAGAAAACTATCATGTGTGGAGTATTTTACCACATAACTGAGACTTCACATGAACACTCCGTCGTGCTTACCTGTACTTGTCCATCCTTCACTAAGGAGAAACATACAGGGGAGGAGATGAACAGTTAAGCCCTCTGACCATGGCCAAGGTCACCAGGAAAACACAATGCCAAGATCCGAACCCTTGTCTTTCTTCCCCGCTAAGACTCACAAGTCTCTCTTTGGGAATTCAAACTTGATCTTTCACAAGCTATCCTAAAGAGAGATCTCTATTTCTGTTCCCCACTTCCCACTTCAGTTCTTGTGCTTGAGTTCCGGTAAGCTAGAATATTTTGTCTTTCTTCACAAGGAAAAAAGCTCAAAACTGGGTTTCTTCTGTGATTATTTAAGTTGGGGTGTGGAGCCTCACTACAAAAGAATTGAACATACTTAAGCAAAAATTAGCGAAAACCCGATACCTTCACATAAATCTCTGATGGGTTTTTATATCCATCCTATTAGAGTTTGCATCTAGATGTCCCCGCAAAGCCCCATGCAGTCAGAGGTGCTGGATCTAGCGTTATGTGATACTACTAAGTTAGTCCACTGATTGGTTTGGCATAGTTCTGCTGGGATGGAGGATGTGATGCTAGGATTAAGGGTATCAGTGTTACCTGCCCTAAGGGTGGGTAGCCTGGATAAGATATAAGGGACAGAAAGAGGATTGTCAATTCACTGCTTACTTTTGCCAACCATGGACTGTTTTTCCTCTGCAATGCCCCTCTGCCATCCCACCCTGCCTTGGAATCAGCTAACTATGGACTGAAAGCTCTACAAACTGAGCCACTAAGCCTTTCCTCCTCTAACTTTGGGTGTTGGGTAAGTACACACATACAATCTAAATATAATTTTCCAGGATGAAACATCTTTCACACCTTTTAAGATTTTTAGTTTGCTTGAGATCTTAGTCCCTAGTTTACTGTTCCACTCACCCGTTCCCCATAAGAATCAAATGCAAAAGCCTGGTAAGTACACGTCATGCCTCACTTTACCAAAGCAGGATCATATTATAAATTGTTTTGCACCTAAACTGTCTCATTTAACAATTCATCCCAGAAAGCTACTAACTAGGTCTACCAATGGATTGGAAAGACCATTCCTTGTGTATATATAAGCAGCATATTTACTTAGCTCAAAAGCATGGAAGAGGGAGGCTTGGGACTCAATCTACTATCTATTTTCAATGTACCTGACTACAACTCAGCCTTCAAACACAGTATTTTCTTTGTATTTTGCTTCTCTGCACTACATTTTGGAAGAAAGAAATATCAGGATCAAATGCAGACACTGCTACACACTTAGGGATCATCTGAGAATTCTACTTTCATCCTGGAAACTTTAGAGAAAGTAAACCATAAAGGAGCCCCTTTCTCCTAAACAGCCTGTTGTGGACATTTCTATAGCACTCTGCACTTTTTTCTTCTGTGATAGGAATAGCAAACGTTTGAAACTAAACAACTCATAGGTTCTAAAAAGGTTTGTGTGTGAGAAAACCTTCCCCAGTGTGCACAGACTGTGCAGCCTGTCTGCTCAGAAACATCACCCACCCGACCAGCTCCCAATTACAACTGAATTCAAGTCACACAGTATCTCATGGTTAGAATAAGAAAGCCATTTATTTTCTATGTAGCATAACTTTAGCAAGAGCCCACTACAGAGCATTTTTTCAAGATGTTCAACAGGCAGGCCCCCCTCAGACCAGCTCCCGGGTGTGTGGTGCCTGCATCCAGCTGCCAGCCTATCCCAGCCATTCTCAGTAGATGGGCCAGGCTTCTACTTCCTTGTCCATCTGTAATGCTGCGGCCAGCACTAAAATGTTTCAGGCAGCTGCTATCTTCTAACAGCGGGCTAAGACTCTGTCTAAAAATCGTACCTAATATGATTCCCCAAGGGTTGTCACGTAACTGATTTCTACCAAAATGATGCGAAACGGCAATGAATATGTCAGAACATTGGATGGACACCTTTAGGAGCTATAAATTCACCCAGCCAACTCTGTTCCAATGAACCCGATTGCCTTTGTGGGAAATTAATACTCTCAGATATCGTGAAGTTTCTGAATAAAACTCAAACACACGGCCAATACACTGACCACTTCAACAGGCACTAAGTTCCAGACTGCTAAAAGGGACCAGGCTCTTTTTTTGTATTTAATTTGTATTTTTAAAAATTACAGATTTATAGGAAGTTACAAAGATAGTAATACAAAGTCTTGTGTACTTGAGCCCTGTTTCTCCCAATGGTCACATCTTACATCAATACAGGGCAACATCACAAACAAAACACCAACATAAGTACAATGTGTGTGTATAATCAGACTGGTCCCATCACTGTAACTGACGCTCAGAAATGTCTGGGACCACGTGCAGACTTCAATGAACACAGCAATCAAATGAGCTATGCCAAGAGAAAAACAAACCAAGGATGAGACTCAGGAACTAGCAAAATATATAGTTCTTATCTCCTGCCATAGTTTGGCTTTTCAACGCCTCCCCCAAGTCTTGGTGCCATGGGAAGGTGACGGAAACTTTAAGAGGTGGCGCCTAATGGGAAGTCTTGCCCAATGGTTAGTGCCCTTGAAGTGCATCTTCCTGCTCCTTATTTATCTCCTGGCCCTGAGGTGAGCAGCTCTGCTGGTTGCACACTCCCACCAGTCTACGCTGCCTCACTGAGGCCAAAAGCAAGAGGACAGCCACACAGACCAAAGCCTCCAAAACTTTTCCTTCATAAGTTGACTACCCTACATATTTGTAATAATAACAGAAAGCTGGCTAACGTCTGCCTTTCCTCAATTTTTTCTTTTTTTAGTTTAGCCTGTTACCACGAAAATAACTTATTCGGATGATTAATTTGCAGCCAGTTATGGGGACATTAATTTATAGACAGAGAAACCATATAGAAGTTATCATTCTTATCACTACATAGATCTCTGTCACAACTGTCGACTAAAAATGCCTTTTTATTTGACAACTGATGAGTTTAATGGAACTGATCAATTCTTTAAACATACCCTAAGTATGAAAGGCTTCAGAAACTCTCTGAGTTTGTGTGAGAGACAGAGGAATGGCTTAGGCCTGCTAACCTAGGGACCTTCTACCCCAGCACAAGTCACATAACCAGTAAGGCTACCCAAACTAAGGACAGAAGGGCCCTTAAATTTTTTTTAAAGATTTTAGAATGTTTACTTATACGCATTGAGATATTTTGGGGATGGGACCCAAGTATAAACATGAGTTTCATTTGTTTTATATGTGCCTTAGTCACGTAGCCTACAGGTGGTTTGTAAAATATTTTTAGTGGACCTATGTTTTTATTTTACCATACATTAAATTGAAGCCAATAGTGCTCTACCACTATTTTACATCCCCAGCCCTTTTTACTTTTTTACTTTGACTCACATTCTCACTAAGTTTCCCAGGCTGAACTTGTGATCCTCCTGAACAGCTGGGCTTAAGGCACCCGCCTAGCTATGGACCCATCACACAAATCGGGTATGGAATTTTCCGTTTATGGTTGCTAAGGGTTGGATCTAAACTGTCCCCCTAAAAGTCTCACACCTGGATGTAGGGCCTGCTCAGAAAGAACAGGTCGCTGCAGGCATAACTTGGAAGGGTGTCCTCATCCCCAGCTCCTCACTTCTCTCTATGCCTCCTAACCACCAGGTGGTGAACAGTTTCCTTCCATCAGGCCTTCCACCATGCTGCCTTGGAGCTGACCGAACATGGCCTGAACCCACTGGCAACTGTGAACCAAAATACACTTCCTCTCCTTGAAATTGTGGGGTATTTTGTCCCAGCAATGGGAAAGTGACTAATATAGTGGTATCGTGTTGGTGCTGAAAAATTTTTCCAATTTTGGAGCATCTCAGACTCAGGAAACCATAAGCAAGAATCATTTTAGGGCCAGGTGTGGCAAACACCTATAATTCCAGCTCTAGGGAGCTATAAGAGGATCGCCACAAGTTCAAGGCCAGCCTTGGCTACATTAAGTTCATGCCCAGCCTGAACTACAAAGTGAGACCCTCTCTCAACAACAACAAAAGAATCATTTTAGGACATTTGCCAAAAATGACTCCAATCAAGCCTGGTTTGTTCAGCTTTCTGTCAGAAACAAACCTCACTTTGCAGCATTCCTGTGTAAATGCAGTGCCATGAGAAATCAGGAGAGCAATGGACTACTTTTGATTTCCTTGACAGTCTAATTTAACTCTAGAATCAAAAACCAGCTTATAATCAATTCTAGGTTCAACTGTTTTAATCTCTTAACTCTTTGAAAATTAACTGTTTACCTTTGCAGCATAACATGACTTTAA